GGGGGGGCGGGGGGCAGGGCTTCCCAGAGCTCCAGCCGCGCGGGGCCCGGGGGCGCAGACAGCCCTCTGGTCATTTGGCACAGGGAGCCGCACGGGACATCCGGCTGGAATGGAAACCGCGCCCAGGCAGGGGACGCTGCACCTCTCGGCTCAGCAGTGCCCCCTGGGCTCCAGTTAGCGACCCCGCATGCCACCAGGGCAGCAACCCTCGGGGCCACATCGGACTTTGGGCCTGTGTCAACATGAGTTACAGGGGGCCGGTCCTACTGTTCTGTTCCTTCCCTCTCGGGGGACTGTGCCCTTTGGGGAAGCAGAGCCTGGCCTGCAGTGCACTTGTCCTAGGAACCCGCTTCCCTTTAGTGTCCCCCTCTCCCCCAAGTGTTTATTGCATTGGAAAAGTAACCCTCGAGGAGTATGGATGAGAGCGTCGCACACAATCTGCTGTTTCAGGGATCGAGCATAGGGAGACATTATCCAACGCGCTCTCAACGTTCAGTATGTGTGTGTGTGGGGGGGTGGGGGGTGCTATTCTGTGCGGTTCTCAGACAGCCTCGGCTGCTTAGACTACATCATAGAAATGCAGGACTTAGAGAATCCATAAATAAACATAAAATCAGCCATCGCTAATAAGTGCTGAGAGCTCAGCTCGCCAGCAATTTGCCTTTAACTGCTCTTTAAGCGGAGGGTTACAGAAACCAGAAACAATTACTTGCAAGTTTTTAAACATAAATGGAGTGAAAATTATATTTAAAGGAACCTTATAAGCCACAAAGCCTCTGTACCCGTCTTAACTGTGTGAGAAAGAAAGAAAGAAAGAAAGAAAGAAAGTCTCTCTAGGTTTGTCTCTCTCCTTGGAGAAGGAAAGAGAGTACATGTTTAGCTAAAGCACGTTATCTCATTGAAAGCTGAAATACAGACATTGAAACCCAGTTAAGGTGCATTCTTTCTGGACTTTGGAAGTGTAATGTGAAAAGACATTAGTGTCCTCACCAAAGCAGAGCCACTTGCGTAATTCAACTATAATACCAGTGAACAAAAAAGACACTGGCATCTGTCACACTCAAAGAAACTCTGGGGAGGAAAGGGTTAAGGACACAGAGCTTCTGTTAACAGATTTTTGAACCCTTTCCCCATCATAGATAAATTAATTTGTTACGAAGCGATAGCATCCAATCGAGCATGTGGTGATACCTCATCTGCGTCAGACCTGTGCAAACAGATGACACTACAACAAGCACTGGACTAGACTATTTAAGGAGCAGCATTTCAAACGGTTAAGAACTTATCGAACCTGAACAGTACTCATTCTGATTTGAAGGAGGAAAAACTATCTTCATTAAAGGTAGGAGATGATGGCTCAGTAACTCTTTAGACATAGTTTGATTGAATTTTTGCTGATAGAAAAATGTAAAAATGATGTGACTGTGCACTTACTTTTAACGTGACTTTTCAGTATAGTGGTCTGGTATATTCTCACAGACACCTTCACTAGAGGAAATTAGGTATTTAATATTAAAGATTTAATGTTCAGAACTTTACTATATTTAGGGGGCAGGGAATAATGCATGGTGCTATTGTTCTTTTTGCAACATCTTTATGCCATTAAACAAATCATTTTACATACTTGAAAAAGCAAAAATATGTTTCAATTTTGTAACTGAACATCTAGCTGCCTAGGGTTGCACAGCATTTGTCATTGGAATTGAAAAGTAATCATTTACATGATACAGATACAAAATCATGAAAATGAACTAATATGTGTATTTAAATACTGAACTTTAGTTCTGAGTCACTCTCATTATATGAAGTAGTTTAGAACACCCATCTCTATATGAAAAGAATAAAGAATACGGAGTCTATGCATTTGCTACTTGCATTTAAGCAAGTAGCAAAGATGTACTTGATACCTTAGTGACAAGGTATTAATTATGCTGGGGCTGTAGAATCCTGAATTGTTACCACTTTGAAACTTTTCTTTTCTCTCATAACAATTCCGATGAACACCTGTTTGCCTCACATTCAAGCATAATTAAATGTAATGTATGTGATGGGCAAATTTGGTTTAACAGTTCATATCTGAGACACAAGCTACTCTTTTTATTGTACATTGTCAAATAACTTGTAAGTTTTAGGAGGGTTAGCCATGAAATATTTAATATGCACACAGAAAACAGCACTAGTATTAAGAAGGATCCAGTTCAATATTTCCTCTTGAACAATGGACTGTTTGCAAATTAAAGACTTATTTTACATTTCTAAAAGAGCTCTTTCCATTTCTATAATGATTTAATGCAAATCCATGTCCTGTAATATAGTTGGAATATGTAAAGTAAGTCTGTTTGGATTTTATAGAATCAAGAAAATATGCATAACACTTAAATTCTCTATTTTATCTGAAAAAAAAAATACTGCTCCAAATCATTCTATTTCTAATTCCTGTATAGCTTTGATAAATCACCTGAGCGCCACGTTTATTCCACAGTTGTTCAATTGTTGGAGTAAGATTTTGTTATCCTTTCTCTTGGTAATCCTCCCTTTCCCCAGATATGGTAAAAGAGCTGAAACAATTAAGCACAAACAAAACACACATTGCTAAAATAAACATCTTTCCCAGCTTTTCAAAGCTGAATATTTGTATCACTTGTGTATTTTAAAAAGATAGTGACATTGTGAGATGTTCCGCCCTGAGAGACAGGAGCATAGCAAAGGGAATTCTTCAGCAAAGAGCTTTGCAACAGATTGCTTATATCTCTACTTGTTCCAACATACAGCCCTATCTCTCTACTGCCTCTTAAATCTAGAAACATTTTACCTACTTGTCAAGTATGCTGTTGCCAATCTTATTTTCTCCCATTTAACACTAATCCTTGGTTTACAGTACACACTAAAATCTAGTTTATTCAGAGGCCAGCACTTTTTTTTTCAAAAAGGAGGGAAGGGAATAGTATTAAATATAGTGAAGTTCACCATTCCAACAACTTCTAATTTCTTTTCCCTCCAGCTATGTACAGCGGTATCTGCATCTACGTGTTCCTTGCTGTGCTCTCCATGAGCGCTTTCGGACAGCAGGCTACAGGCTCGCACAATGACAATCCGGTGGCCACTGAGCTTGAGCAGAGCTTGACAGAACATCACCGACATGTTCGTGTCCCTTCATCTGCTGGCCAGCTGAAACCTATCCAGCGGCTGGATGGAAATGTTGACCAAAAAGCCAACTTTGGAGCTTTGTTGGCCAAATATCTCCAACAAGCCAGAAAAGGTAATAGACTGCTTATTATGCCATGTGTCTATGTCAAAAGAATTCCCCTTGAGATTCAGCACTGTTCCACATTTACAGATTTTAAGGACAGAAGAGACTGCTATGATTGTCTACATTTGTAAAGGAACTATTGAAAAATATTAATAAGGAACTGAACATTTGCTTTTATACACGTATCATAAAAATTTCTTACATTTCTAGTTTAATGATTGTATGCAATACAAAAGAATTGTACAACTGCAAACTTTTGTGGTGTTGCAGTTAGGATTGCTTGTATTCAGTATCAACAGAGTAATGCAATGTAAGGGCCTTGATTCTTCAAATGCTTTCATTAGTTGTACTTACCTACCTGAGAAGGTAATGAGCCTACCAACATGATTAAGGATAAAGGCCCATAAAACATGTATTTGCACAAAACAACACTATTTACACTACACTGCATGTATACATATTAGTATAGATTATAGGTATATTAGTATATACCTATACATGCAAATACACACACGGAGTCACTTCAGAAAGAAATGTTTTCCTCCTGTAAAGCTAGATACTTGTTCTTCCAAAAGAAATACTAGATTTTAAACATTTGCAAATAGTTGTCCATTCACACTTCCCTGTAAGAGGCTAATTTGCTTTTTAAGAACTTTGCTCTGTAAAAGAGCTCAGTGTTGAATCTGAGTAATAGATAGATAGATTCTGGGAGGCAAGCTACTTGCAGAGCATTTCTGGTGAGCAAGATGGCTGCCAAGTACTGACGAAACTTCTTCACGTGGTTTCAGAGGTCTTTTCATCTGCTTTAGTGTTCCTATATTCTACACTCTGCACTGTAGGAAAGGACATCTTGGAAGTGAAAAGGGTGGGTATGAGGGCCAAGGATAGAGTCTTTGCCTGTTATTACACAGCTGTTTTGATGCTGGGCAATTAATTCTTCTCTGGGAGTGAAGTATCTCCCCTCATGTACTTAGGATGGAATTTGTGTTACCCAAGCAGTGGTCTTTCCCTCCCATTTCCATCCACATTGGCCTATGCAAGGTTAACAAAGAGCTCTTCTCTGTCACACATTTGGAGGCCAGTTCACTTGTGAGTTCTCCCTCCACGAAGCCTCACTGTAGGGCTTAATGTGCTGGACTCCACACATATTCTTTTTTAGTGTGGCTTCATAGTTTGTGCATTCTCCATAATTCCTGGTTGAAATGCCAACTATCTCAAACTGCTATAGTAAAGGAACACTTTGGCTATGTTAAGGAATATAAGTTATCCTGATCATTAGCACACACACGCACAAAATAATCCCACCTATTTTTAGAATTGTTTGTAGTCCTGGACTCGGACATGATCACCAGAGAAGGAATAAAATTCAAAGTGACAGGACAAAAATATTTAACCTTTATATGACTGGATCTGATGAAAAGCCCATGCTGGCCTCTCATTTGCTTCCTTTTCAGGTCTATTATCTACAACTCATATTAGCCTCCTTTAATAGAAGACCCTTATGGCTTGTGTGTTCTATAAGGGGTTGCTCAGTGTTGTAATTTTGTCATCAAAATAATATTGCTTTTAAATTTTGAAAATGGCTGATATGTAAGTTCCAAATGATATATGACAAGTAATCTCAAGACAGCCCTCTAGTCCAGTTTTAGTCACTTTTAGGATGTTCAATCCATTCTTACTAGCTAGAAGACACTATACATATAGGAATTTTTTCTGTGCCACAAATGGTTAGTGGTGATGTTTTTGATTATGGTTTGTAGAGAGACCCAATTTGGCTAATATTTCTAGTTATAACTGTGGAGAAAAATAAGTTATTATCCCATGAGGTTAAGGTTGGGTTCTAGAAGTTGAAATATTGGAAGGCCAATGGCTCTGGAGAGTGTATAGGCCACCTTCAGAGATTTGAAGGTAATTAAGATTACCTCTTATTTTATTCAGTTTACTTTGCATGACCTACCAGTTCTTTCAATTAAGTTATCCTAAAAGTATTCTACCATGTATCTGGCAGCTGGGTAGAGAAGGCACATTGTGCCTCTCAAGTCAGGGACACATGCATTAAAAAGTCATTGTCAGGGCAAATCACAATGGTTAAAAAAAAAATATTAAGCCCCCATTGATAATTGATTTGCGAACTCAGAAATCTTTTAAATGGAAACCACTGGTCAGATAAGGGACTATCTCAGTGGTATTAGACCAAGAAACCACTCTCATCACCTCATACTAACATATTCTGAATTATGAAGATTTAACTGAGAGCCTTAATTTGTTAATCAATCAGACATTTTAATAGATACATTTAGTTTAAGTAAGTATCTAATGAGTAGGGGGATCAATTCAGTTTATATGTACTCTCAGCTGCAAACATCAACAAAAGGAGTTAAATTCCTGAACATAGGTTCTTTATTTTGTGCTGAATCATTTCATCTGTGCAGAAAGCTACAACAAAAGTACTGTGACAGCAGGTGTTCTTTAAAATATAAATAGCAAGTATATGCAATAGAGTTGAGGGCTTTTAAATTTTGTACATTTAAAAACTCACAGATCTGGGTCAAAGCTAAATATTAACAATATATAGTGTTTGTTCCTTTTTCATTGAAGTTATTGGGAACTATGTCATTGACTTTAGTTGTAGAAAGTTTAAACTTATTTTTATAAGAGTATTACTGCAAATGAAGTTTAAAATGTATCCATGGAAGTACACATTTTCCCATTCTTTGACTAGAAGCAGAGTCTTTTAACATTTTTAAATTCTTTCGGTTCTAATGATGTAATGTGTTAAGACAGATAAAGGCATCACCTTTTCCATATGTGGGGTTTGATTTACTACAGAAAATGTTTCTCTTATATTCTATCAATGCTTTAAACATAGTCGGACAAAAAAGGCATAGCAGAGATCAGCACTCTAATACTATGGCAGAAGAAAGTACAGAAAAACCTTAGTTACCCAAAGTAATAGTACTCAGAGTTCCAGCACAGCTGTAATTTCTAGCCACACCATTCTCTCATATGGCTACGTCTAGACTGCATCCCTCTGTCGACAGAGGGATGCAAATCAAGCACATCGAAACTGCTAATAAAGCAGGGATTTAAATATCCCGTGCCTCATTAGCATAAACATGGCCACCACTTTTTTCGAAAGTTTTTTTTTTTTAAAAACGGCAGTCTAGACGCGGATCTGTCGAAAATAAAGCCTTTTTCGGCAGATCCTTTATTCCTCAAAAAAATGAGGTTTACAGAACATGTCGAAAAAGGCTTTATTTTTGACAGATCCGCATTTAGACTGCCTTTTTTTTTTTGAGAAAAAAACTCCATTTCGAAAAAAAAATCAGTGGCCATGTTTATGCTAATGAGGCACAGGATGTTTAAATCCCTGCTTCATTAGCAATTTCGATGTGCCTAATCTACATCTCTCTGTTGACAGAGAGGTGTAGTCTAGACACACCCATAGAAACCAGCCCAGAGCTACTATAGAAAACCTGCATGTCTTATGTCTGTCCCACTCATAACGAAGGTGCTATGTTAGAGTAAGTATTCTCATCCTCTGCACAGTATACAACATAGAGGACTGTCATGGAGTCTTCATCTCAGGCATGATCCTGCTCTCAATTAAATTTAGCTCATCACAGAGCATTCCTCATACTGCCTAACAAATCAGAGACAGACACCAGAGAGAACACTGAGCAAATGGGGTGAAGCAACCAGGTCCCTCCTCATTCCTCTAAGTGGCCAGGCAGCAAGAAGAAGGACAAGAATCATGTCCACATTCAGGAATGGGGATGTGGGGAAGGAGGATATGATGTGCCAAATGGGGTCACAGAAGAGACCCTTAAAATAGTGCAAGACTCTCCTTAGGTGTTAAGAAACATGAAGATTATTAGTCAGGCTATCCACAAATTATAATGCATACAATTACAAATCTCCATAGCAAATCTCCAATGGGTATGCTTTTCATTTTCATAAAAGCAAGAAATTCTAAGGACATTCCTCCAATATTTACAGTATTTCCCAAGAAAATAGTATAAATCAAAGCACACTCACTACTGTGCCCATTAATAAGTGACAGACACAAAAATGAAATTAGGTGAAGCTAAAGATTGAATTAATTTATTCTTTTCCTCTTGTCTCTCAACTGTTAGGTCCTACTGGAAGAATCTCAGTTATGGGAAACAGGGTACAGAACATTGACCCTACACACAGGATAAACGACAGAGATTACATGGGTTGGATGGATTTTGGACGCCGCAGTGCTGAAGAGTACGAGTACTCCTCTTAAAGAATATCAAACTATCTCAAAAATAAGAATCACACTCATTTCTATACAGAAGGAAAAAATTATAATTTGTTATCCCCAATCAGTGTTTAAAACATATATTATATCCTTGATATAAATGTCTGTAAAACTATACAATGCAATATATACATATGCAGAATTTTAAAAAATACTTTCTCCTATGGTTTCTTATTTTATTGTTCATTGTTGATACTATACTCAAGTTATTTCATGTATTCCCCTTGTCCTGTCACAGCAAGTTGCTGGGTGTCTTAAAATAAACTCAAGCAGGAAAATGCCTTCTTAGAGTATATGTGTTAAGCAATCATACAGGTGAAGAACCACTTTTTAAATTAACCTTGCAGCATTCTCTTTGGTTGTAGTCTCTAGAGATAACTTGTGTTGGTGTCAGTTTAGTAGCACAGTTTTGGCCACAAAAGGTCAAGTATCTTCATGGTTACCCCATTTGTAAAAGATTCAGTAATACAACAAAGTCACATGTTTTCAGTGAATGTCCAATAGATCTAAATCTTTAGAAAAACCTTTTATCTTCTTGGCTCAGTTATTTTCTGTTTTGACTTAAATGTGAAAATTCTGCTAACTGCTCTGAATCATGGAATAAATAGATCACTTCTTGCCTTGTGGTGAGTTATACATTTTTTGGGGGCTTGTGAAGGAATCCTGTAAGTACAGCTTGGGGATCTTTCAAGGGAGGTGGAAGGGAAGTGCCATGTAATCGATATAATAATAATTGTAATTATTACACAATATATATGGCAATGTTTTAGTCTATGAGGGTATTTAAATGAAAGCAGATTGAGTCTTTAAATCATAATTCAGGCCAATACTTCTATTGACTTCAACCTGGAACAAAGTGCATCTCAAATTACTTCAGCCTGAGCCCAAAGCACTGCCCAGTCCTGATGGCTTTGTACCAAGTGAAAACTCCCACTCAAATATGCCAGAGTAAGGAATTTAGGACCGGGCACGATATCATTCTTGCTCGGAAAGCTCTCATGCATAGTATGGAATTTTGACTAATGTACTTTCCATCTAAGGCAAAGCATCAGCAGAAAAGAACAAAGACAGATAACCAGTGATTCAGTTGTATAAACATTGGGATGTTTCTGGCCAATGACAATAGGACAGAAAAGTTACAGGTACCTGTGGTAACATAGCTCCTCACCTTAGGGACTGATTACATGATTGTGGTTTAGGGGAAGTCCACATGTTGCTGAGGGCCTCCATTTTTGGCAAAGACACTCAAGGGATCTCAAAAAACCAAGTCTTCTTTGATCTGCAGAAATAAGATAAAGGTAAATCTCAAACTATTTACAATAGTCTTATTATTTATTTAGATATTAATCAATAAATCCTTTTATCCAAGGCTCTAGGTGTCCAGCCAACACTCATGCAATAAATACAATTAAATTAAACGTCAGCAGCACCAAATCAATTGTACAGGACCGTGGCCAATCAGCTCACTTTCATCTTAGGAAGTATGCCCTTCGCCTTCTATGGAGACCCCATCACACTTTCAGTGGAATCAAAATCTAGTCACATGGTCCTATAAAGCTTATATTGCCAAGGAACAGGCACCAGCAGTGACCGTAATGAAAAAAATTCTGTACATTTTTATAGAGGAAATAGTCTGTTACTCTTAATAATGTTACCATTGCATCTTTATGCGGAATGAAAATAATAAGTGCCATGAGACATAGAAATTGAAGCTCAAATTATTTTCTGAGTCCCTGCACAAGAATTTAGCTGATGATTATGTAACCCTTCTGCCAGGTGAACCCAGCAGCAGCCAGGCTGAGTTCAATATCTAGGGGTTCCTCTTCATCCATCCTTTTTTTTTTATTCCCACAGTAATTACAGACATTGCAATTAATATTAACACAATTTGTGACCCAGCATCAGCCAAGTTGATTACAGTGAGCAAACACCAAAGAATATTTAACAATTCTAAGCAAAGCATGAGCAAACTGTATTTACATAAACATGCCCAGGGTCTCTCCCCACTTCCATCTAGCTGTAAAGGGACACATTCATAGAATTCTAGGACTGGAAGGGACCTCGAGAGGTCATCGAGTCCAGTCCCCTGCCCTCATGGCAGGACCAAATACTGTCTAGACCATCCCTGATAGACATTTATCTAACCTACTCTTAAATATCTCCAGAGATGGCGATTCCACAACCTCCCTGGGCAATTTATTCCAGTGTTTAACTACCCTGACAGTTAGGAACTTTTTCCTAATGTCCAACCTAAACCTCCCTTGCTGCAGTTTAAGCCCATTGCTTCTTGTTCTATCCTCAGAGGCCAATATGAACAAGTTTTCTCCCTCCTCCTTATGACACCCTTTTAGATACCTGAAAACTGCTATCATGTCCCCCCTCAATCTTCTCTTTTCTAAACTAAACAAACCCAATTCTTTCAGCCTTCCTTCATAGGTCATGTTCTCTAGACCTTTAATCATTCTTGTTGCTCTTCTCTGGACCCTCTCCAATTTCTCCACATCTTTCTTGAAACGCGGTGCCCAGAATTGGACACAATACTCCAACTGAGGCCTAACCAGCGCAGAGTAGAGCGGAAGAATGACTTCTCGTGTCTTGCTCACAACACACCTGTTAATGCATCCCAGAATCATATTTGCTTTTTTTCCCCAACAGCATCACACTGCTGACTCATATTCAGCTTGTGGTCCACTATAACCCCTAGATCCCTTTCTGCCATACTCCTTTCTAGACAATTGCTTCCCATTCTGTATGTGTGAAACTGATTGTTCCTTCCTAAGTAGAGCACTTTGCATTTGTCTTTATTAAACTTCATCCTGTTTACCTCAGACCATTTCTCCAATTTGTCCAGATCATTTTGAATTATGACCCTATCCTCCAGAGCAGGCACAACCCCTCCCAGCTTCGTATCATCTGCAAACTTAATAAGCATATTTTCTATGCCAATATCTAAATCGTTGATGAAGATATTGAACAGAGCCGGTCCCAAAACAGACCCCTATGGAACCTCGTAAGATCCTGCTTGCCATTTCACAATAAAGTTGTGTTTTTCTTTTCTCACCCTTCATACTAGAGATCTTGAAATCAGAACTCAGCTGACATGGCATTCATGTTACATAAAGTAGGATAAAATCCAGTTTCCACCTCTGGGCATGCTCACTGTAGGCTCAGGGTGATGAACCAGCACCTAGATCAGGGATGGACAAAGGGTCCTCCACGGGCTGGGTACAGCCTGCCAAGCCCGTGGATCCAGCCTATGGCCACCCTGCAGCTCCCTTGCCCCCAGGCCAATCCAGACCTGGGGGTGCGGGAATGCGCAAGCTCTTTTCCTCCCGCCAATGTCGCACGGTGATTAAAGAGAAATGACGCTGTTTTAAAACAGCCAGCATTTCTCTCTAGCCCCTGATATGTCGGAAGCAGGGGACAAGAGACTTCACACGCTCCCCAGGCCCTGATTAGCCTGGGGACCATGCGAGGTCTCCTCCTGTTGCAACGCCTAGAGGGAACTTCCAGATGTTTTAAAACAGCTGGTGATTCTCGCTACGCATTGGGGTGAGAAGAGGGAGACTTCACATGCTTCCCCACTGCTAGGCCAATCAGGGTCTGTGGGGGGAGCATGAGAAGTCTCCTGGTCCCACCCCTTCCACCTGAGGCCCCGCCCTTTCCAGAAGTGCAGAGTTGGTCCCCTCCCCACCTTGCCCAGTACTTAGATGCCTAACTCCAAGAGGAGGTTCTTGGCTGTGTATCCCAAAGAGAGAGGCATTTCCCCCCAGTCTAGGCACCTAATTCCCTGAGAAGGGTGGGACCTATGACACATCCCTCTCTTCAGCATTGACTATTGTTAGATGAGACACTACCCATCAAGCATAAACTTACTCTTATGGATCCCGTTCTTAAGTTCCTATCTGTCCCCATGAATCACAGTGGCTGACAAAGTCTAACTCAGGCCTTGTAGATTACATGTTTGGGGAATGGGATGGTTGTTTCATTAATAAGGCTTTTAGGCCCAGGTGAAAATAATCTGTTTCAATTGGCTTGTTGCATGAATTTACAGAGAAGCACCTACAGCAAGGATGTTAATGGTTTAAGGCATGCACTCTCATCTGTAAAAAAATTAAGATAATGTGTCCTTTCTCCACGTATGAATAGAGACAACTGAAGTGATCAAGTGGACCTGATCACATAATTCATTTTTTTTCAGTAGCTGAACCAAAACACATAAAAAAAGTTTCAAACTAAAATGAAGTTTTGTCAGTTTCTCTCACCAAAATAATGTTGGTGAGAGAGATCGAATGAAATGTTGTTTTGACTTGATATTTCATTAGAAACTGTCATTTTGAAATAAAAGAGCTGATTTAAAAAATGTCAAAACAAATACTTTGACACTTCTGGGGAGGGGGAACTGGGTATTTTTCATCCAAAACCATTGGTTGAATTTGGTCTGGACTTGCAAATAGTTAAAATGTATTCTTTTTATGGGTCAAATTTACCATTTGCAAAAATCTTTTTTGCCCAGATGCAATCATAAGTTCTTTGGGACAGAGAATATTTTTTGCCCAGTAATTTGTATCTAGCATAATAGCATTCCAGTCTTGCTTTGTGTCTTCAGGCACTATTGTAATACAAGAAATAAAATATCCTAATTTTCATACCCACAAAAACAAAAACAAAAAACCCCACGATAAAATGATAAACAAGACACGTACTAAATCTACAAATTCTGAGTTACGTCTAATACAAATGTTCCCTAACCAAGCCTCGGACAACAAAGAAATAGATAGGAAAGTATATTTACATCCATTTCATGTTATATGCTTTTTCTGCCATTTCTTTTCTCCTTGGACCATAGAAAATACTCGAGTATAGAAATCAATAGCTCTATGAGGCAGTTTATGTGCAGAGGCCACAATCTATATTGTTGCCCATGATTTTGATTATGTGCTAACATACAGATAGGGTCTGATCCAGTGCATACTGAAGCCAATGGAAAAATGAGTGTTCAGCACGAGATCACAGGCGATTTCTGCCATATTTACCCATTTCCCCCCAATTCAGTGATTTTTATGAACTATAAATGCATAGTATAGTTGACACACAAGCTAGAAGGTTATTAATTATTTGTAAGAGATTGTGGCATGAATGTGGAAGGGATTTGCTTTTATTGATCATGGAAACGATGATTCAAGGCTATTTTAATAATCACTGTGGCAACACAATCAGTAAACCAGTTCATTCTGTAAATGTGTTCTTATGACCACTTGGCCAAAATACCATGTGCCAATCACACAACCCAAGTAGCACACACTTGAAGCAACAGTTGCGGCAAATCAGATACAATTGAGAGGGTGAAATTAGTTTGTATCAAATATTAGTCAAATACGTCAAATAGCAAACGTATTTATAAACATGAAATCGTTTTTCCAGACAATCATAGGATCATAGAAGATTAGGGTTGGAAGAGACCTCAGGAGGTTATCCAGTCCAAGCCCCTGCCCACAGCAGGACCAACCCCAGCTAAATAAATCCTGATCTTAAAAACCTCTAGAGATGGAGATTCCACCACCTCCCTAGATAACACATTCTAGCACCTCACCACACTTCTAGTAA